CCACTAAGTTATATTTCATATAACTTCTTCTACAATGTACTTCAAATGAAGCATTTTCGCAATAGTACTCTCCATGACTACATGCCAATAACAAATATAAGAACCCTCAGTATACTAGATTTAGCCTACAGACTCTGGAATGAGCACGTGCTTCAAGTTCTTTCCAAATTCCTTCCAAAGGAGGTTCTCAGTGGATCTGCAGAGGGCCTTGGGAATCTGTACCCCACACAGCCACATCATGGAGTTCTGTTCCCTAGCCAAAGGATATGTGGTTTTATCATATTGATTATTCATTTATATTATTATTTATTCACTTATTGTGAGGGCGTCAGGAAGTTGCACGTGTGTGTGCTTGCCTGGGTGGCCAGCATTTCACACTGGGACGTCTTCTTGAGTTGCTTCTCACTTTATCTTTTGAGACAGGATCTCTCACTGAACCTGGAGCTCATCAATTGGCTAGACTAGCTGATCCATGAGCTCTGGAATCCTTCTGTTTCTTCTTCTGGGTTTTTGTGGGTGCTTGTGTTTGTACAGAAGGTGCTTTATCAATGGAGCAAGCTCCCTGGCCCCATGATGAAAGTGTTAAAACATGGACTGCAGGTGAGGCTTGGTTGATAGAGTGGTCTCATTGGTATCCAGCGGGCCCTGGATTTAGTCACCAGCACTGCTGGGAGGAGGGGTGCTGCTAGCTTTGGTTCTTAATCCCTGGCTATTTGTAAAAATATGAAAACTTCTAGGAAAGGAATCCTGTCAACTTCGTCTATCACTTTTTCTACAAAATAGGTGTAGACTGGGCTTCATTTCTGATAAGTGTGCATCACTGAGATCCAGAAGAGTTGTATAATTCCGAGACTGGCAGTTCTTCGTTGTAAATTTGAAAGTGTTCCCAAATAATTTTTAAAGTTAGAGATTGAATCTTAAAAGTGTTATGAATGATGGAAGAATCCTGCCATAGAGAATTACACATTGCTTGATTCTGCTGGTATGAGATGTCCCTAATAGGCACTGTACAGGGGGAAAAGGCTCTGGGCAGCTCAGAGCTGAGGGATGGGAAATGGGGTTATTTGGGAGTGCTGAAAATGCTGTAACTTGGTAGTGGTTTTTGCACAGAAGAATATACTGAAGGCCACTGAACTGTATACTTAAGACAAGTGAGCTTTATTGTATATGAGTTTGATCTCAATAATGAAGTTACCCTAAAAATTAGAAATGAGAGGCAATCTGGAAAAGCCCACAAATATTAAAGATCGAGTTTGGAGGTGAAAACCAGCATGACATCCCAGGAGTAAACAGAGTATTTTATAAAAACATTCTATCCATAAACTGTTAGATCAACAGATAAAAGCGTAAACATCAGGGTTTACTAGAAACTAATTCACAGATAGTTTTAAAGGAGGGTTTTGATTTGATTTTAGTTTGCCTAAAGCATTGTGCAAATTCATTTTCAAGTCTTAAATGAGATTTCTCCTCTCCATCTTCCTGCCTGCAGTGAGGAAATGCTTTTCCGTGGCTCACACAGGTTTTCTCAGTTTTAATAAGGACAAGTGGCAGACAGACTGCAGGAATTCCAAGGAACTGAAACACTGGAGAAGCTTACCTTCAGTCAATCGAGTTCAACACATGCGAGTAACCGCGAGGATGAAGGACAATGTATGCATCGTGTTCTCTTGTCCTGATATGAACAGGCTGGCCAGGCTATTTTTATCCAGCATTCCCTCCCTTCTTCACTCTGTGGCTTGAGGGACTTCACAAGAACTTCGGCCAATGTTCAGTGATTTTATATAAGAACGGGGGCTGAAGCAGTCTGAAAAGCATTGTGTAGGAGAAACTTTTCATTGGTAGTGGACATTCTGTCTTCCCTTCACATGAGATAAAACAATCTTATGAAAAGGCAGGCTTATGGGCAAGTGACCCCTGACAGCATTCTGTGGGAAATGCTTTCGTAGGAGTCTTAGGAGTAAAGGGCTTTACACACTGACTCAATGCTAGCCAGGTTGGTTTCATTTAGAGTGTATGTGACAATATACCAACATGTGGAAATCAAATCTGAAGATGTAACTCAGTGTTAGGGCACATGCCTAACATGCTTACAGCTCTGGGTCGAGTTCTCAGCACCACAGAAACAAAAGAAAGCAAAAAAGTAGAAATTGCTAATGTTTTAGGTGGCAGTCATCTCATTGTAAACCGAGGTATCACAGGAATGGGGTTGGAGACATTCCACCGCTCTGAGGCATAGTGAATGTTTGCCAGCTGCCCTTATTAAACACCAGCTTGTCTTTTCTGTCTCAAAAGAAAGGATACTCCTAAAGTTAAATTTTCTGTTTGGAAACATTTGTTAGAAGACAAAATGAGACTCCCCGTAACATTAAGTGATAAGCCTTACCATTCATTTTGAAATCCGGAAGTTATCCTTGTCCTTCTCCCCCATATCCAAACAAGCAGTATGTTAGAATCAGAACTTTCACCTTGGTTCTTGTGTGGGTGTCCATTTTGTAGAACTTAGTCATTTTGACTTTGGTCCAGGGGGAAAGAATTTAGCTATCTGGAAAAGTCAGATTCTTCCCTCCCTCCCTCTCTCTCTCCCTCCCTCCCTCCCTCCCTCCCTCCCTCCCTCCCTCCCTCCCTCCCTCCCTCCCTCCCTCCCTCTCTTCTCTCTACCATCTCTCTCTTTTGAGACAGGATTTCTACATAGTCCCTGCTATCCTGGAACTCACTGTGTAGACCAGGCTGACCTCAAGCTCAGAGATTCACCTGCCTCTGCCTCCTGAGTTCTGGGACTAAAGGCATATGCCACCAGATTTCTTGGCAGCCAAGTGGATGGTTTATGTTTTTCAACTTTAGCCTAATTCTCTAAAATAAGATAATATAAGAGGAATTCTCCACTTTCACTGTGCTATAGAATTAGTGCTCTAAACAGAAAACGATTATCAATGAGAGTTAAAACCCAAGACAGACCTCTTTTATAGTTCTCAAACCCACAAACAGGCCATCATACAAACTTGGGCTGGAAGTGACCTGTATTGTTACAAACATATGTGCGATTATTAAACTCTATTTCCTTTCCTGGTTTAACAAAGGTAATTAATAGAAGACAGTTTAATAGTTCTTTGTCTTCTATTCTGATGTTATTTAGACTTCCTAAGAAAAGTTATACTAGCTGGGTGGTGGTGGCACAAGCCTTTAATCCCAGCACTTGGGAAGCAGAGGCTAGCAGATCTCTGTGAGTTTGAGACCAGCCTGGCCTACAGAGAGAGTTCCAGGACAGGTTCCAAAGTTACACAGAGAAACCCTGTCTCGAAAAACAAAACAAAACAACAACAACAACAAAAGGCTTTACTAATTTCAGAAGACATTGCCTCATAATACTATTTGATAATGTATTTGAATCCAGATGATTTAGTGTCTGCAAAACAAATATCCACCAGATAATATCAGCTCATTAAATACCAACATATTCTTATTTACAGCCTAATTTGAATTTGGAATCATAGAATTTTCTAGTATTGCCAGATTATTGAATTTAGCTTGAGTGGGTTCTGAAATTGAAAGCAAAATATTCATCCTATGAATCTATTTTAAAGTATTAGTCAGTAGAAAGTATTCCCCCAAGATATCTAACAAATATATTTTACCAAATATTAATTCAGTTTGAAATAAAGACGATTTATCTCAGGAAAAAAGGGGGGGTTTGAGTTGTAGAATGTAGTCAGTTTTGGCTGCTTTACTGAGTCAGATCAAACACAGGCTCCTTGCCCATCTAAGTAGACACGCTAAGTTGGCTCCAGCACTGGTTTGTGGAGCCTATTATGGACTTTACAAAGTGTTCAAGGTTGCTTTTCCAGTCACTCGGCCAGAATCGATAAATCTCCAACCTGCTTGTGCTGTACATGCTGTGCTGGTTAATCATGTATGTACAAGGCATAGCACATTAGGCTTAAAGAGAGTTTTCTGATAGGAGCCAATTTTTAACTACCACACTGCTGAAAACTGAAAACAAAGGAAAACCGCTTCTGCCTACTATTAAGGTGTGTTATCAACTAAGAACCACAAATAATTCTGCTGGCCAATTTCCAGGACCAGAAATAAGAAAGGCAGGGGAGGAGGGGAGAAAGCCATCTTCTAAAGTGCTGAAGGGGTCACAACGTCTGGAAAATAGTGCCAACAAGTGCCCAGCAGGTAAGGGAGACGGCTCCACAGATACAGATATGGACCCCTGTCTTTCATATGCACATTGAGATGCTCTCTGAAGACCAAATGCTAAAGCTCACGTGTGTGGGGGAAATGGGGTAGAGTGGTAGCCAAGAAGAGTAGCCCTCCTTCGTCCTGCTAATTTTTCTTTTCTCTGAATGCTGCTTATATTATAGTCTGAAACTGGAGAGCCTTTCTAATGGTGAGTCATGTCATGTACTGCACAGGTGTTTAGTGAACCAAATTCTGCCCAGGGCTACTGAAGATCCTGTTTTGGGTGTCAAAAGTGGTTCCTCCTGTCTGCCCAGATCTGTCTTGCACCTGTAGTTCAGTTGCTTGCATGCCTTTGGGATAACCCACTTGCTTCTTTCTGTATAAAATAGGATGTGCATTATATGAATTTTTGGTCCAGTGCTGTAAGAAGAAGCCAGGGCCTCCAAGTGCACGGCAAGCTCTCTACCACTCAGCACAGCACAGCCCTAGATGACTCTTAAGTATGTCAGCAATTTCTGGATGGCAAGGAGATCTCAAAAATTGTTGATTTAAAAAAATAAATCCAGAACACAATTTAAATTGTCTAATACTACTATGCACAGAAAGCACCGGGTTGTGGTAGGCTCAAGATTATGTTCTGGTATCTTCATTTTTACCTAGAATGCAAGGAATCCTCACCCAGATGACTCAGGAGACCAGGCATGTGCAAGCCTGGCCCTGGTCTTTCCACAAAGAAAATGACTAAGAAAATCAGACATGCATTTGCATATCTATATGCATACCTGTATTTATACTTGCATTATTTATTGATTTAGCAGCACTGCGACTAGAAGTGGGGGCCCTGTGCATACACTGAGCTACAACGCCAGCTGAAGACTCTGTGAATGAATTTACTGACGGTTTTGTCAATATTCTGCATTGAGTAAGTTAACAACTACAACAGATAATCCAAGAAGGAGGAGTGAAGGTCAGAGTGGAGAATTTCCACAACATAGTCACTCCTTCACGCTCTTCCATGAACACTAAACACAAAAAAGGAATGATGTTTCTCTCCTAAACTTTACTGGAAAAATTTACCGACACAAAATAAGCATTTCAACTATAAGTACAATAATAGCCTGATGTTTATTCAGCCTAAACATGAATAATTTTATATTCTGTAACAACATGAATGTGAACTGCCATATTGGTACTGGGAATTGAACCTGGTGATTTTAACTACTGAGATGTCTTTCTAGTTCCTTATAACAGTTCTTATTAGAATTTAATCCACATTTTATAGCATTCATTTTAAAGTGTCCAGTTCAGTTTTGTTTGTTATACTCACACATGTGCATCTGTCACCACCGTAAGTGTTAAAATGCTTTATTATGTGCCAAAGAAATTTATAGTCATTCATATTTACCCTAGACCTGACCCTGAGAAAAGCCGAACTGACATCTGTCCTCCGGTTTTGTCAACACTTCACATCAGTGGGATCATACCTAGTCCTGTATTGCTGCATCTCTCAGCCGTGTTTCCAAGGCTGATGTGTGTTGTTAACATGGATCAACTTCATTTTGTCAATAGTTGAATAATATCCCTTCATATGAATGTGGCACACTTTGTTTGCTACCCATCAATCGGGATGCCATTGGGCAAACAGTTCAATTGTCTCCATCTGGGGCTGTTACAGATAAAGCCACTATGAACATTTATGCACATTATTTTTGCACAGTTACACTTTCAAATTCCTTACGGTAGAGACACAGGGCCATATGAGGACTCTGTAATCATGAGCAGTGTCTAGATTGCTTTTCCAAGCAGCTGTACTATTGGAAATGTACTAGCTAGACATTTGGGTTTAGGTTCTCCAAATCCTCCTTGGTACTTACTGCTACTTGTTTTGTTTATGCCTGTGTTTGTTCTTCTTTGTTTTTGCTTTTGTCTGTTTGTTTGGTTTTTGAAATGGGCTCTCTCACATAGTTATAACCGTCCTGGAGCTCACTATGTAGATCAGACTGGGCTCCAGTGCTAGAATTAAAGGCATGCGCCACCACGCCCAGCTAGCTAACATTTAACGAGTAGGTTTGACAACATTAAATGGGCATCCATTACTGGCCAAATACCAACTTTCAGTCTCCTAGCTCCCCACTTCCTAGCTGGGGCAAACCCCTTTCTCTTTTCTATCTCTGTGAACTGGATTACCTATATGAGTGGACTCACTGAGTATTTGCCCTTGAAGAATGTCCAGTTTCACTTGGCGCAGCATTCCCAAGACTCATGCATGTTTCATAAGTGTCAGGATTTCTTTCTTTTAAAGGCTGAATAATATTTCTCTGTATGATCAAACCCCATTGAATCAAACCTTATTATTTCATATGTGCGAATTCAGTTGTTTGAGCATTATCTTCAGCCCACTAATCCCTAATACTGACAAGTATTGGAATTTAAATTCCTTTACTATTTTAAACTCATAAACGTCAAAGTAAAAGAATCAAAATGCTGTTTCAAAAGATGTGTGTTGTAGGTGACCATATGAACTCAAGATAAACAGTAAAACAAAATTCCATGTGGTATGGGGCGTGTCTTTCTTGTGATTGATAGTTTTCCATTCTCACTGCACAAAGAGGCACTAGGGACTGACAGGAGCTGTAACTTAGAAGAATTCTGTATTTATCATTATCATTACTAGCATGCAACCATAGTAGCTTTCATAAAGCACAAATGTGCATGTAAAAGGAATTGTGAAAATCGCTTGTGCTTCCGAGTTGCCAATAGGTGGCACTAGCCATTTAGTCAGCATAACATTTCTTCTTAGTGTCCTCAGTAAAACTCTCCCCACTGGAAAGACAAACCCCCTTTAGGAAAAAAAAATACAGTTAGATTCAAATTGATTGTCCTTAAAGAAAACTCAGCTAACACCAACAGGGACACAGTTCCAGGTTGGAATTGTCCCACCACCAAAGAGACCCTCTACCCTGTCTGTGCTGTCTCTCTGTCCTGTCCATGCTCTCCCTCTGCCCTGTCCATGTTTGTCTCTCTGTCCTGTCTGTGCTGTCCATCTGTCTCATCTGTGCTGTACCTCTGTCCACAGAGAGATTGCATTTAGGCAAATAAACACAATGTCATTATTTACTGCAAGCAAAGAAACAGAAACCAAACTTGGAAGACAAAATTAGAACTTGCAATAATATGATTTTTTCATATTAGTTCAAACTGGAATGGTCTCATGCTACATTGAAACCCTTAATTTGTTTGTGGTACCATGTATTTAAGATACTGATGGTAAGTGTTAACATGTACAATCAGAATTATCAGTATAAATGGATGCTCGGGTTGTGAAGCCCTTTTTAAGCTGGGAAGCAGACAGTGATGGTGTATGTTGCAGTCATTGGAACTATCTCCAAGTTTTATTATATAATAAATGGTAAAAGAAATCTCAATAATTGGCAACATCTAGATTACCTCCTACTTACTCTCCACAGAACACTGAACACTCACTCCTCAATGACGTGATTTGTTGCAGAGCACCTGAGTCTCCTGCAGTAATTTCATTAAGCATAGTTTAATTTTGTTATCTTTCATAATGTTCTCAGGGTGAACAGTCAGGGGCTGTTATGAAGCCATAAAGCCAATGACCCTGTTTTTTCCAATCCATCTCAAATGTGCATTAACTCTTCTTATAGATCTGAATACAGTTAGGATCATGTGAGAAATGTCCTAGAGCCCAGAGCCCAACATTGACCCTAAGGTTTCCCTGAAGTCTTGCCTTATTTCTACACCCATGGTGACAGAAAGAGTCTGCTTGTCCTGTCTGTCCTCAAGTGCAGTTTCTCCACAAGATTTCCCCTCAGTCAACAAAGGATGGTTGTTTCACATTTCAGATAGACTCAATTGCAATCAAGCACACTAATTGGCTTGCTTTAAAATGTCACCTGAGCCCACTTCCACTCATCTTCAGCAATTTATTGAGCATCTATTGGATAACAAGCGTAATTTTACTCTTGCCTCACTGTGCTTAGATCAAGTCCTTTGGCTTGGAGAACTAAAGACACCATACATTGTCGTGAGGCCTGAGACCCCTGCTGGCTTTCACATATGACAGAACCGCCTCACAGGTTCCTAAGAAGAGTTCCTCAAACTTTGGAAAACACAAATACATTCATGGAATAAGTGTGGATTTTTATGTTATTTTGTAGTTTGGTGTGTCATTTAAAAAGTCAACATAGATGTTGTCTTGGTCACAATGCTGTTTGAGTGGCCCTGTTGGCTTTCTGTTTGCACACGATGGTCACAGCTGAATCACTTTAACAGACAAGAGAAAATGAAAGGAAACTAGAGGAGGGAGTTAGTAATGCTTCTTCACTACCGAAAAACGTGTAGATGAAACTTAGGGCTTTCTAATATCTTTCTTTCTTTCTTTCTTTCTTTCTTTCTTTCTTTCTTTCTTTCTTTCTTTCTTTTTAAAGACAGTGTCTTCCTATGTAGCTCAAGTACTCCAATTCTCAATCCTCCTTTCTGAATTCTTGCTGTTGAGCAGGGTTAGTCACCACCATTATGCCTGAATACATCTTTCCATTTTGAAATACAGGCAGGTTTAAGGTAAAATTTGAAAACATTCTACACTTGAATACATGGTGTTGTAAGAAGGCTGTACAATGATTATGTGAAAATTACACATGTCTACAAAGGAAAGGCGGTTAGTTAGCTCTTCCTGTATCAGACAATTCACGTTTGCAGTGGCTAGAAAGTCCTATATCAAAATATGTACACTGGATATACTTACTATTTAGAATAAGGTATGTTTAATAACTGTGTGTGGGTACTGCTGGGGTGAGTGATTAGGGCCTCACACATTGGGCAAGTGTCCACTGTCCAGCTTTTTATTATTATTATTTTTTTTGACACAGACTCACTTGTATCCCAGGCTTGCCTTGAACTCAGCTAGTCCAGGATGATTTTAAACTGCTGATTGTCCTGCCTCCACATCCTGAGTGCTGCTGCATGGACCACTGGGCGTGGTTTAGGGGTACTGAGGATTAAGCCCAGGACTGCAAGCACACTGCAACACTAACAGCTAAGCTACATCTCCAACCTCCACAAACAGTGCTTTTGTTAGTGAAAGTCATTCTCTCATAAGCTGACGAGTGGACCTCAGGCACCAGCGTAAACACGTTACAAGAACTTTGCATATTGTTGAATTGCTATTTTAGACAAGGCCTTGCTGTGTAGCCCAGGCTGGCTTTCAAACCTGAGATCCTCTTGTCTCAGACTCCAGAGTGAAGCCTGAGACAATACAACTGGCATATTACAGGTGAAATTCTTGTTTCAAAGACTTTGGGCCTATTATAAAAAACAATGAACTGCACATTCGTATCTTAGAGAGGTCTGGTATAGTACCCAGCAAGCAGACATCGAAATGCCAGCACAAATGTGAATATTTTCACTATGAAAATAAATGAAATTGAAAAGAGACCTTAATAGTCATTTCCCCCCATCTGACAGATTGAAATTGCTGTGATTTGTAGTCCTGGAGTTTTGTTATTTTAGAATTTGACTTGAGGGATCATGGACCTACCAAATGATTCATTTCATCTTCGTGGTCCTCACATCAAAAGCAGACTCCTGTTGTATGAATGCTTTTTGGAGTGCAGAAAGGAAGGGTTCCCATAGCAGCTTGGACAGAAAGTATGATTTTGTTTTCTTGCTATGGGCTTATGCAATTAGCAGGACTTAGCCCAGGATGTATGAGCCTGCCTGAGACAAAAGGCATAGCTCCCACCTACTGCCAGTCAATAAAAGCTACTGATATTTCCCTACAGGAGCACCCACTGTGGATAACCATGGGGTGCAGGTCAGTAGGCTCAGGCAAATGGACAAAGTTCCAAGCCTGTTACTCCAGGATGATCATGACACTGTAGGAGCCACAGCTCATTGAAT